CACATCTAGTCTGTTACCAAATCCTGTAGAGTCCATCTTAAAAAAATAGCCTGCATCCTCCCCTTTCTTACACAAGATACTACTAAGGACCTTGTCCATGCTCTAGTAATCTCTCACATGGATTATTGTAACCCTCTCCTAATTGGTCTTCCCAAAAGCCGTATTGCCCCACTACAGTCTGTAATGAATGCTGCCGCCAGAGTGATTTTCCTCTCCAGTTGGTCCTCTCACACCTCACCCCTCTGTCATTCCTTGCAATGGCTCTGTCTTTCCTTACAATTCAAAGTACTAATCCATACCTATAAAGCATTGAACAACTCTAGCCTCTCCTACATCTCTTCATTAATTCATAGGTGTGCCCCTTCTCGGTCTCTATGCTCTTTCTCCTGTCTGCTGCTCGCACACGTATGGCCAACTCACGCTTGCAGGACTTCTAGCGGGCAGCTCCCTTCCTATGTATTCAATCTTTTAAGAAGTGCCTTAAAACCTATCTTAAAAGTATATGGAATCCCAGAGTTACCTCTACCTCACATACCTGTCCCTTGCTCTCTCCTAAAGGGCAGCATTCTACTCTCTCCTCCAGCCTGCTTCACCTAAAGACTGTTAGCTCCTTTGAGCAGGGTCCTCTTCAACCTATCGTTCGTGTAAGTTTTTTGTAATTGTCTTATTTATTGTTAAATCTCCCCCTTTTGTTATATTGTAAAGCGTTATGGAATCTGTTGGCACTCTATAAATGCCAATAATGATAATAATTATTATTATGTTATTATAATATCTATCTATGAATCTATCTATCAAATGTGTATATTTGAATGTTTATTGTTTCCTTTATAAAAATCATAGTCTTGGATAGAGGATATTGTCTGAGATATTCTGGAATAAGGAATTCTGTTACACAATCCAAGGAAATTAGAAATCTTGAAGAAATCTGTACAATAGAGTCTTTAGAATATTGAACATTATTAAATTATATTTATCCATCGGTGACAGATGGATCTGAACATATGGATGCCCTCTGAGTAAGTGAAAGTTTTGTTAAATGTACCACTTTGTGCATGTTTTTCTCTTGCTGACATTCATTGCCAGCCAAGCAATCTTGGGCATGCCTGGAGCATTATGAATGTGCTCACACATGTGTAAACCTTTGCAGAAACACTCATGTTCAAAGAAACACCTTTCAGACGATTTTATTGATTTTCTCATGGATATTTTTCAGAAAAATAAACTAGGAGTTAAGAGTCCGTAATTAAGATGGCCTTGAGATTTTTAAATGATTGTTTTTGCTGCATACCAATATTCATTTGACATTTATGGGGGACATTTTTTAAGTTTGTTAGGTTGATTGGATTTAAAAAGTTAATGATCTTTTTTTCCCAAATCCTAAATTTTATAGTTCAATACACAGTAGATAATTAATATTAGGTTGGTTTACTGGTACACTGAATTGTGTTTGTGTGTTATATATTTATCTCTGTGTTATTGCCTCTGAATTAATGCTCTCATTGTAGACAATTCCTAGTGCTTTATTTCACAAGTTTACAGTTGGTAGGATTACTACAGTTATCACTAACTCAAACTTACTTATATGTATTAATATATGTATGCATGTGTAATTTAACCTACGTCATTCATTCCTGTTCAGTTTTCTAGTCTAGTGCCCAATGTGCAGCAATGTGAAATAGTGGAGTAAACCGTAGAGGCCATCTGATAGGTGCAGTGCAACATTTTGCCTCACAAGCAAACTAGCCTCCCAATGATGATGATGACAATCTTCAAAGAGGCAGAGTAATGTGCAGGAGCACTGAGAGGGAGAAAAGTTAAGTAAACCCATCTTTTTAACCCTTGCGGTGGGGACCAGGTCATTTAACCGTGATTATGGCACTATAGCATTTGTTCCTTTAAATAGCAATTTCCCCATGCAACAATGAGGTAACCTTGGACTCTGTCCCATTTCTACACTCTATACAGAGCAGATCTCTCTACCCACTAGTGCCTTCTAAATGTTTTACAACAAACCCTACAATGTGCCAAGAGAAAACCTTTACTGTTTGACAAAAAAGTATAGATGCCTACCCACTGGCTCTGTGAAGCACCATTAAAAAAACATCTACCTCCTCATATGCATCTAAATATATGTGGGAATTGAGGTATATTCTATATCTTTGCTACACAGTACAGAAGAAAACAAGTGACTTTCATATCAAATTGTACTATATTTCCTTAAAATATTTCACAATATTCTGCAATATAAATTGTACAAACACATAACAATTATGTTTGTAACACATTTATGGACCATTGTTTTCTTTTCTGAATACTCTCTCTGAGATCTGGTATACTACCGACTTTATTACTTAGTTATTGTGTCACAACATAATAGCTATAATAGAAGTCACCCACCAGCACTTCTAAAACACTCAAAAGGTAGGTGGTCTGCTGAAAAACTAAGTGTTAAACCTTTACCTTCCCACATATGTTAGTGGAATGTGAGACCAAGTGAGCAGATTCCCAATAATCTATTATGATGACTAACTGCTATTGGTATTACGACTTTAAAAGAACACTAGAGTGACAGAAATACAAACATGTATTCCTGTCACTATAGTTGTAATATAACTATGTAGCCCCTCAGCCCCCTGTCTCTAATGTAAAAGGGGAGGGCTCAGCCTCCATGGCTGAGATCATAGGATAATCTCAACCAAGGAGGCCTGGCAAGGATGCAGATTTAATCAATGCATCTCTATGAGAATGTTCAGCGTCTCCATGCAGAGGGTGGAGACGCTGAACGTCAGTGCTGCACACTTTGCCTCCCTGACCCAGGAAGCATCGCTAATGGCTGTCTGAGTGACTGCCACTGAATATATCCCTCTGGAGCAATGTAAACAATGCCTTTTCTTTCAAAAGACAATGTTTACATGAAAATGCCTGCATGGACTGAATATACTCACCAGAACAACTACTACATTAAGCTGTTGTTCTGGTGATTATAGTGTGTATTTAAGTATTTGCATGTCTCTGCTTGTACATTTCTCACTGTATTCATGTAATTTAGGATTAATTTTTAAATTGCTCTGGAATTAGCTCCCAAACAATTCTAGAATGGTGGACACAATTCTAGGGTGTTCCACTAACATTCAGAGTCATTCATTGACTCAATCTCATTGATTCAGATGTGCTCCCATTTTAAGCTCCTTTGTATAAATTAGAAGATGATTTTACAAATGTTATTGAAAAGAAAATCAAGTGACTTTCATTTGCTCCAAATTCTTTTTTATAAACTTTGAAAAAAGTATTAGGTGTTTACGGAGTAACTGTGACAAAGATCAAAATTAAATAAATAAATAAATAAAAACAAAATAAAATCACTGATGGAACCAGATAGTATACGACACTAAAAACAGAAGAGATAATAATAAGTCGGGTAAGCATGATGGGAAGGACCAAATGTTGTGCCAAAATGTTTTTTTGTATTAGAAGTAATGCTGCCTTTTTTGCATTGTTTTGGTGAACGTTTCCTTAGAAAAAGTATTTAGATGTTAAAAAAAGTAAATATAAACAAAAAAAATATAGGATTTTTACACATCTTTATCAATGACATCAATGGTGGCATCGCTGCAGACAGTTTTGTATGTGGATACGGTGAGCCTTCATCACACAGGTACATTAATTATGGTATTTAAACTCCTGTATTACTAAGAGCACTCAGGGCTGGTGCAAGGGTTTTTGCCGCCCTAGCCCCCCCCACCCCCCACCACAATGTCCCACCCATATGATCTGCCATATGAGCCAATGCCAGTGCTACACACAGTGTCTTTTCTCTGAAAAGGCAGTGTGTTTACTTTAAAAAGCCTGCATGGACATGCTATATAGACACCAGAACCACTACCACATGCTGTAGATGGTTCTGGTGAATATTAGTGCCACTAATAATATACGGGATTGCCTACTTACTACCAGATGAGGACAAGAGGATGATGATGGGCTCAGACTGCAGTCTGGCTCCACTGGTCTGGTGTTAAAACAGGCTCTCTGGAGGCAGTGCTCACAAAAACAATGAACTGGAAGCAGGTCCATTTTTTTGGGCCCCTTACACAGATCATGGTCTGGACCCCCAGGACCTGACCATGAGTATGACTACAAGGCCTGCCCAGAAGCCTGATGCCTACAAGGCCCACCCATGAGTTTGCTCACAAGGAGTGGAGTGTATGTGTGTAGAGGATGTGTTATTGTAGAGGATGTAATGTGTGTGTGTTCTTATGGAATGTAATGTATAGGGATACCAGGTTGTGTAAGGGATGTAGTGGGTGTGTACAGGGGATGCACTGTGTGTTTGTGTGTAAAGAATGCATTATGCGTTTGTGTGTGTGTGTGTGTGAGTGTGTAAGAAATGCATTGTGTGAATCTGTGTTTGTATGTGTAAGGGATGCAAGGTGTGTTTCTGTGTATGTAATGTACTGCAGTGTGTGTTCCTGTAAGGGGTGCATTGAGTGTGTGTAAGGGATGCATTGTGTGTGTGTGTGTGTGTGTAATGGATGCATTGTGTGTTTATGTGTGTGTAAGGGAAGAATGTTGTGTTTCTGTGTGAGTGTATTATGCATTGTATGTTTCAGTGTGTGTGTGTGAGTAGGGATGCATTCTGTGCATGTGTGTTTCTGTGTATGTGTAAGCAGTGGCATACCCACAATCCATGGGACCCCAGTGCGAAACTGATCCATGGCATCTATTTTATGGCCACTGCTGTTTTTACATTATCTCTTTAATGACTTTAAATTCACCTTTTTAACAGTATTATTGAATCTGTCTTTTATAAAAAAAAGAAAAGCACCCAATCTCCCGGCCCGGTGTTGGCAGGTTAAAGCCTGTATGGAGTTTGTGCCCTGCAACCCACCCTCTGGACTGTTGTGGGTGATCCCGGTTCTCACCCTCAAGGCTCTCTGGATTTGTTAGAGTATGATGGCAATACCACAGACTTAGGTGCCGCCAGCGGTGATACATCCAAAATGGCAGACACCACATTTGATCCTGCATGCCAGGGCGAGAAGACCTCCATTTTGGACAACTTAGATGCTCTTTTCAAAGCTTTCTGGCAGAAACTGAGGGCTAAGCAACACACACCTGCTCCACAAACAGCCCACATGCCACTCAGTCCATCCAGACGATGTGATGGTCGATCAGCAGCTCCTGAAGCTCGAGCAGTGCTCCAGTGGCAGCGAAGGCCACTTTGTTGGGTCAGGAAGAGAGAGGTTCGCAAGGCATCAAGGCAGAGTGCTCCTGCTGCGTATGCAGTGCTATCACAACATGATGAATGGCGATGGGGAGACCGACTGCTGAGGCTGGACCGACTGGTTGATTTTCTGATTCTGGGCCTGACAACTGAAACAAGCTTTGGGAACTGTGTTCTTCCTATGACGGGCATCACCTGATCCACATGTTGAATGATTGGTGGCACCACACTTCACCACCTACCTGACTTAGTGCGTCAGCTTTAGGACTCTTTAGCACTGTTTCTTCTCCTTTCTTGTTATTTCAATTTCAATCACTTGTGTGATGGGTTTTATTGTACTACATGTGACCAGAGCTTACTCTTGAAAGGTGATACGTTTCTCTCATCACTACTATTTGTATATGACATCTTGCCACAAGTGTTTATGATTGTAATTTACCAATATGCCTTAATAAAAAATATGTATCAGGGACCCAACCATAGATGTTATATAACAAATCTATACCCACCATACTTTAAATATTTATGGCAGGTAGACATTTATATTACTATATGTTTTTTTTTCCGCATTTGACAATGCTATTTTGTTAAATCTGAAAAAATATGTCTTCCTGAAACCTTGTTAAACAAATAATCACAAGGCTATTTTTTCTTTGTTAGAGTTTCTCTCCCTTCAAGCTTCTCTTCAAAGATAAATCAATACATAAATAATTAATTTGATGAACAAAAACAAAGTGAGTAAGTAACCATGTTGAGGGGAGGGTGTTAAATTTTATGCATTGATGATGAAAGCAAAGCTCCTGCTGCCTCAACAACAAAAGATCGTATAAACACAAAGCAATGATCAACCTAGCTCGCTTTTCCTTTGGCATTGCATTATTTGATTCCAGAACAAAGCAAGATTTTTGATGATTTAAAATCCATATATAACCTACTTTAGAGCTTCTCTTTTAGAACAAAGCTGAATGATATTAAAACACTGGTGCTTATTCTAGTGCATGGAATTATAACAAATATGCATTAAATTGAAATAAAATAGATAAGAAATACATTATTGAAAAACATTACTTTAGAGTGGAGGTTGGAAATTGATATTACCCTGTAATCTTATTCAATATTTAAGAAATTCCTATTTATCTTTTTGTAAAGTAAATATAACTTTTTAATGCCAAGAATACTGTTGAAGTTAGAAATCGCTATCTACTTAAAACTAGACTTGTCTTCAGTTATCAAGGATCCATCTTGGAAAGATCTGACATGCCTGTTTACCCTTTATACAATGCAGTGGTGATTATAATAGGTTACATGTTTGTAATTAACTTATTGTATTACAAAATGACATTGTAAGGGAATCTCCAATGCCCAAATACAATATATATATATATATATATATATATATATATATATATATATATATATGTGTGTGTGTGTGTATATATTTATTAAGTTTTAAATCACCGTTTAGCAGACATACCCCAAGGAAAACATGCATGCATTTAATTATGCATTTTTTTCATTTGGAGTATATCTAAAACAGCTTGCAAAAGCTGCAGATCTCTACCCTGAAATCTTTGCAAGCCCTCCAATTCTAAACCAAACTAGACTTTCTGTGGCTGTCCAATTACAGATATTCCATTGCAGCTCAATGAGAATTCTTTGCCAGACAGGTGCTATGGGCAATTGCCTGCTTCCTGATTTTAGCTCCACTGAGCAACCAGGAAGTAACAGGGCAGACCGATTGACAGCCTGGCAATTGTAACAAAGTTCATTTGTAAAGTGCTAATTTCTATTGAAATCTTCACTTTTTGTAAAATGAAAAAAAGAAGACACAGTATTCACACATAAAGCCCTTAAAGCAAGCTGGAGAGCTTTAGGTGTTTGGGCTGTCTATTTAAACATGTTCGAATCATGTTTTGTATATGTACATATTGCATGCATTGACTGCATTATTAATTTTGTAGAAAAAACACAGCAACAGTGAAGGAGAGAAAAAAAAAAAACCTTCACTGGAGTTGAGTAGGTTGTAGGGTATCAGGGCATAACCCAAGAAGAAGAATATAAAAAAAGGAAAGAAACTGAAAAAGGGATTTCCAATTGGTCCTCCCAAATATCAGTCCCTATACCCTTAAAGGAGGCTGTTCCACTAGTATAAGGCGATAAATTGCCAGTTTGGAAGAAAGGAAAACTTGTACAAAAAGAAAAATTATAAATCTTTATTAATCCTTCTTGGGGAAAGAAGTGAATGAAAATAATAAAAGTGTGTATACAATAAAGTGAAAAGTATATATAAAAGACGTCTACTATTCTATTTATTAAGCAATATATACATCACACCAAGAGGCTCCTGCTTATAGCAACTGAGATTAAGATATAAACTGTTGCTAGTAATAATTATGCAACAGTATCTCAGTGGCCAATGTAACTTTATGTGTGAATCTAACACAGTCAATATTAAACCTACTGAAGTAACATGACTTCAAAAACAAGTGCCACTCACTAGGCAATAGGTGACTATATCCTGCCTAGTCTTCCAAGATATAGAACCCTTGTTTCTTAAATATAGGTGGAAGTTGCATACGTTAGGACTATACTGAGGGAAAAGATAGAGTATCTGGGGGAGGTAAACGGTAGTGTCACTTGCCGATAAAACAATATAACAGCCCCTATTATAATACTCAAAGGAAAGCCCCCTAGTTACAGCTAAAGAGAGATAATATCGATAGAGGGAGAAACTAAGTGTCGAAAGAGTCCGGCCGGACCTAAGTACAAGCACCTATACACTCTCTATGTCAAACACTCTATACCAAATCATAGTCCTGATCACTGTACACTAATATTATTGTCTAATATAACACCACCTTTATGAGTCTGCCAGTAAATGTATAGACAGCTTATTGTCTGCTAGTACTCATATGGCTATCAGCTCCTAAGTGGTAAATTTGTATAATAGCTCGGACTACGACTGGATATAAGATTAAAACTAAGTCCTGACGAATATAAAAAAAAAACCTCCCAGTCCTGTCTTGTCCAGAAAAGAGGAGTAGACGTTATTAAATAAAAGACCCAGTGGTCTCCGTGCAGCTTAATTATTAATTTTTCTATGTCATATTAGTGTAACAGGGCTTATTTATACTTTATTTGATTTAATTAAGTGAGCAAGAATAATTTGTTGAATTTGCTAAGTATCTGATGGTTCTGTTCATGTGTTCAGAAATCTTCTTCCGAAGGTTGGTGCTTGATTAAGACTGATTGTTTATAGTAAAGTGTAAGGTTCTCTCTTTGTTTTGCTGAACCAATATAATAAAAAGTGCTGTGGAAAAAGTTTCACAATAAAAGTGATTGTGAATACATTGACATTGCTAATGGAACTTGTTGACATAGGAATAATTGTAGAAAAATAGATTGTGATCAAATAGATCAAAAATAGATTGTGTATAAAGTGTAAGCATGCAGCATATTTTATTTTGGTATTTATAATTAGATATTGCATTCCATAGAAAGTTTCAGTGAACATAATTACATATAACTCTGATACTTGTAGAATTAAGGCATACAATTCACTAATGTCTGAGGTTTATGGCTGAATCAGTACTCTGATTATTCAACATTATTTGTTAGATCATATATATGTAGTTGTTTAAAGCACATGCATTTTACCATGAGTACTCATATGACCATATGGTTTGTACTTTGGTGGGTTCAAGTGTGATTTGTCCCATTAGCTAAATTAGGTGAGAAATTATTTCATCTGGTAAATATATCTACCAAGTTCAGAAATACATTTTGCATTGAGATAAACAGGTTTGAATGGTGGAGTGGTTTGCTTATAGCATTGGGTGCCCAAAAGGTAGGCCCAGAGATGTTTTAAAACTATAGCTTCCATGATGCTCTGTCATTCTATAAGCATGCAAATCATAATTATTATTATTATGTTATTATTTATATAGCATCAACAAATTCCGCAGTGCTTTACTGTGGGTGGACAAACAAACATGTAGTTGTAACCAGACAAGTTGGACACACAGGAACAGAGGGGTTGAGGGTCCTGCTCAATGAACTTACATGCTAAAGGGAGTGGGGTAAAGTGACACAAAAGGTAAGGATAGTATTAGACGAATGACAGTTGCAAAAGAGGAATCAGTTGGGAGCTATTAACAGTTTAATTGATACGCTTTTATAAAGAAGTGGGTTTTTAATGATTTTTGGAAGGAGTGGAGACTGGGTGAGCATCTAACAGAGGAGGGAAATGAGTTCCACAGGAACGGTGCAGCCCTCGAGAAGTCTTGAAGGCGAGCATCAAAGGTGGGAGTACGGACAGAAGATAGACGTAAGTCTTCAGCAGAGTGTAAGGGCCTAGACGGGACATACTTGTGTATTAGAGAGGGAGCAGCATTATGTAGAGATTTGAAAGCAAGAACCAGAATTTTAAATTGAGCCCAATGTCTTACAGGAAGCCAATGTAGGGACTGACACAAGGGGGAGGCGTGGGCAGTGCGGGCGGACAGGTAGATGAGCCTCGCTGACGCATTCATTATGGACTGTAATGGTGCCAGTTGGAAGCACGTAAGACCACTGAGAAGTGGATTACAGTAGTCAAGGCGAGAAAGGACAGTGGAATGGACCAGCACCGTAGTCGTATCTTGCGTTAAGTAGGGTCGGATGCACACAATGTTTTTGAGATGGAAGTGGCAGGATTTGGCGATAGAGTGAACATGAGGCATGAAGGAGAGGTCGGAATCAAAAAGGACACTTAGGCAGCGAGCCTGAATGATGGACTGATGGTAGCACAGTTGACTTGGAGGGAGACAGACACAGGAGTAGCAACACTTGAGGGAGGAAATACCAGAATTTCAGAAGTGGGCAGCCATCCAGTTAGAAATAGCAGAGAGGCAGTCAGAGACACTAGTCAAGAGGGACAAGGAGAGATCAAGAGAGGACAGATAGATTTGCGTGTCATCTGCATAGAAATTATATTGGAAGCCAAAGGAGCTAATGAGTTTACCAAGGGAGGCAGTATAGATGGAGAACAGTAGGGGACCAAGGACTGAACCTTGGGGAACACCAACAGAGAGGAGTTAGGATGAAGAAGTAGAGCCAGGTAAAGAAACACTGAAAGAGTGTTGGGAGAGGTAGGAGGAGCACCAGGAGAGAGTAAGATCTTGAAGACCGATATTGCGGAGGATGAGAAGAAGCTGTTGA